AAATGTGCAAAATTTCAATATATTTAGTATAATAATAAGTGGAGCAATATTAAATGAGATAATTTAAATATATACAAACGGAATTAGTGTATTCTCCAGTAGGTGGCTTTTGATGCATAGAACATAAAAAAGAAAGAATAAAAAAGAAAAAATGGTGCAGATTGTTTCAAGATGTTCCTACACAATCACTCTACTGGTGCATAAATTATGAGGAGGATCATATAATAATTAAATCTATCTATAAAGATGGTATAATGAATATAGTGTATAAATATACAGTGATCCTTCGAAGATGGAAAATGCAGAATTTACAATTTATTGACCAACGTAAATGACAAGAATAACAAAAAAATTGATAAAATAGTTAGAAGCTCTGCCTCTAAATAGAACAGGTGGTGAGTAATTACAGCGTACGCCGTTACTCACTGATCAAGCTCAATATGGGTGGGCTGCAGGCGTCTCCACAAACGGAATGAAGTTATACTGCTGATCCTGGCGGTGATTTCGACACATCTTTGTAACAGGGTCAAATTGCTTCGTTTGCCGCCGTTGGTTTCTAAGTCCACAAGCTCTGCCCCTGTTTGTGATGTCAACGCGTTTCGAAGTTTACGGCTTCCTCAATAATACTATTACTCTATGTTGGTGAATTGGGAGTGCACCTAAGTGTGGAGCAATTAGATATTGAGGCATTATAGGAGTGTCATTTATCTAAATAATATTACCTAGCACCCAAACTCTTTATCATTAAATGTTTTTAGACACAGAACAGGATGATTTATATTGTTTTCATTATTTTCTACATTTATTCTTTCATGTTATTCTGAATGCAAAAACTCAAAAAAATGATTTTGTCCCCATTTGGTACCACACAGCTCAGAGTTTAGTAAAGAGTGTTTTTTTTTTTTTTTATTTGACAATTTTTATTCAGACATGTAGATGCATTACAATTGCGCGTGTATCTTGAATACCTTCATCGTGATTGAACATATGATAGAATGTTTCGGTTACAATTGGATTAGGCATTTCAGTGCTGCTTATTGACGTTAGGTACATACATCATGCATACCACATGTCTCAAACATTTTGTGGGGAGGATAGTATTGAAGGGGCAGTATAAATAAGGAGTGAAAAGAAGAGAGGGGGTGAGGAGGGCACCAGGGGGGTGGAGGTGGCGGAGGGATGACCCTGGATTTTCCAGGTGGTTTGGCAATATTTCCTGCGTACTTAAGGGTGAATGGCCAGCAAGTGTCTTCTGTCTCTTAGTTCTTGATTGTTCGTGAGCCAGGGCTGGGTCTCTTCAGTGCCACACCAAGGATAACATCCTTGCCAGCTGGCAGTTATTGTGTTGTGATGTTGTCAGTGTGGTTTTTGTATGTGTCCCATATGTGTTTTACCTTAGCTAATATAGGTCTTGGGCCAAATTGGTGTTGGTGCATGGCCTCATATGTCCAATTGAGTGCAATTTGCTTCACTAGGTGTGTATGTGACGGTGTGTCTTTGGACTTCCAGTGTCTCGCTATTAGTATATGTACTGATGCAAGTGTATGGTATATTAGTGCCTGGTGAGCTTTGGGCATCTTCTCGGGGAATATGTACAACATGCATTGTATAGGATTTTTTTCCACCTGGTGGCCTAGCATGTCTGACATGATATGGAGGGCTTGTGTCCAGAGAGGAGCCAGTGCGGGACATGTCCACCATATGTGAATCATCGTGCCCACTTCTTTCTCGCAACGCCAACACATGTTTGTGGAGGTAGGCCAAATTTTGTGTATTTTTTCCGGCACTAAGTACCAACGGTATAGTATTTTCCGTTGGATTTCTAGGTGTTGGGCGCATGATGTCATGCCTTTGTGTGCCGTGTAAGCTCTTTTCCACTGTTCTGGGCTTAACTCCAAGCCCAGATCTGTATGCCATGCCTTTTGGTAGTATTCAAGTGTCAGTGGTTGGTTGTGTAGGATCAAGTGGTAGCAGGTGGAGAGAGATGTGACGTTGGGCTTATTTGATAGGCAAATATTTTCGAACTTAGATGTTGGTGCTTGTGACCCTTTCTCAGGGTTTGTGGGTGGGTTGTTTGTTAGTAGGGATTTGACTTGGAGGTAGGGGAATAGTAATTTTGTGGGTAAATCAAATTGTTCCTGTAGACTTGTAAAGGATTTGAGGTGTTCCCCTTTGTATAGGTGGAGTACGTGGGTGACGCCTTTGTCAGTCCACGGCTTATGGTTAAAGGTGGGAATCGTCAGACTTATTGATTGCAGTGGCGCTGCCATCGGTATCTTTGGGTGGGTAACTAAAGTTTTCCTCACCCCGTCCTATGTGTCTATCAGCAACCGAGTAGTGGGGAGGCCTTGGAATGGTTTTGGTCTCTGAGTACTGTCAGAGTAAAGAGTGTTTTAAAGATCCGACATACAGAAAATAGTCTCATATTTCACTGTAAGTATAATGGAAAAGACTATCAGTAACAAAATACGTTACTGAGCCTGCAGTGGAACCTGGTTTTCCTTCCACTGCAGGCTCAGTATAGTATTTTGTTACTGATAGTCCTTTCCATTGTACTTACAGTGAAATATGAGACTATTTTCAGTATGTCGGGTCTTTAGAACACAATGTTATAATATTCATACCAACATGTATGTATTATGATAATAGATCATGCTTTTGGCACGGACCTCCCATTTTAAAGGCCGTTGGTGTATTCTGGATGGATCCGGTCCATTTCTGTTTAATACACAGAATTTGAGAGGCAGAAGTGAAAATATCCCCCTGTTTCACCTTTGTGATTTTACTTCAAACACCAGAATATTTTAAAACCGTCCCTGGGTCCAGAACTCTGCTGTACAGTCCCATTCTGTCTTACCTCGTCCTCCCATCTTTGTGGCATTTCTCTGGGACACCAAATAAACAACATTCATTGAACGCCAAGTGGACTTGTTGGCCCTGGACATCTGTCCCTTACATGGGACATTACCCCTCTACACAGGTAGATTTGGGGTGATTTGTAACTTAACTTTGACCCCTGATCGTAGGGGTTGATTCCATCACTCATAACCAAAAAGCCCTTCATGAACCCTTCATCCTCCTTAAAGGAAAACAATCATCATTATTTCTCTAAAATGATTTGTTATCTAAAATGATTTATTATTACACATATTATACCTTCTGTGGGTTTTATTGTGTAATGCAAGCATATAACTAAACACCTCTTCTGGTTTACTCTTGTCCTGCAGTGACAGCCATTTTAAGTTCTCTTTGGACAGAAACACAATTTATCTGACCACAAGCTATGCAGACAATCAGTAAGTGCCTGGTATCTCGATAGAGCACTCCGAGCAGACACGTGTTAATTCTGACTAAAGATAACTGCAAACACTGAGCAACAGAGTCTTCAACATATATGGATTCATAAGAAATGAATACACAAACACGTTATATTTCATGTAATCTCTTGTTTTCAGTGATATTAAAAAATCCTCATAGTTTTTCTTTCAGTCAGGGGTGACCGCAACTGACTCTCCAAAAAAAAAAAAAAAACAGTTTTGAAACTCTTTAATGGTCGATCTATTCATTTTAACAATCAAAAGATGTAGAAAATCTGAAATTTCCTTCTCGGGGGGAGAGACATTTTCACGTTAAAAATAAACCAGCTTTTCTTTTGCTATTCAACAAATAACATTGTAGTCAGTGGAAGGCCTGAGATGAGGCCTGCCTTGATTAAATACTAGTTTGATGTATTAGTTAAACAGCAATCAATGGGCAGGTGCTAATCAACAGAATTTCAAGAAAATGAATTCATTAAACTTAATGGTGAGATGGACTAAATGACCCGTGTGATCTGTTTTAATGTTATTATTAATAGTACGATCCCCAATCGTGCAGTAATGTGAAAATATACTCGACGGACGGACTTCACTTAATAAACCCCACAGCTTGAGACCCGTTACAATTATTATCATTGCATTTTTCATAAAATTATGAAATCCCTTTTGAAGCACTCAGACAATCTCCATAACAACAATACGTGATATTTCAGGTCATCTGCTAACACATTCTGTGTGTGTTTATCCTGAGTAGATTCTACCATTTATCTGCCTGGACTGTTTGCCTCCTCTGCTCATTGACTCGTCCACATTTTCTTATCAAGAGATTAATTGAGTGTTCAATATTGGCGCACAATGACTTCAGTGACTGGGATGTCTGGCGGCTATGTAAAAATTCCTCATAAGATACTTAGACATTCCATGCAAATGAGAGATTACTTTACATAGTTACAAAATGTATTACATAGCTACATAGTGATGTGCTCTTTAACCCTTTAACCGTGGAGTTACTAAATTTCTCAAAATCAAAACCTAGAAGAAGAATCTTAAGATCAAAAAAGTCTGGACTGGGTAAGTAAAACGTTACTTATAAGCCAGAATTTTCAAAATTAAATGCACATATTCATCATTGACGTTAATCCGATGTCTGCATTCATTATTCAGTATTGTCATTTGGATACCTGTTCTGACACTCGCTGTGTCGTACCTCTGTACGGGGGACCGAGGGGTTATGAATGGTTACAGCTGCCTATTGATAGAATTTTGTAACCATATTTTGCCTCTGACTTCCAGGATAAGAGCCCGTTTCAGTCCAGTAGTGGTAGTGCTGTTTATTTTACCTTATGCACTCTCAGAATGGAACTCTCACTGTTTAGTTGATATCCCCAATGAAAACATGTATGCATTTAATTATGTCTTTTATTCAGTTGGGTATACTGTACTAAAAGCAGCTTGCAAAACCTGCAGATCTCTTGTCTGCAGCCTTTGCAAGCCCTCCCCTTCTAGCCCCGCCCAGACTTTCTGTGGCTGTCCAACCACAGACTTCCCAATGCAGCTCAATGAGAAGGCAAAAAGTGAGCACCGCATGGGTTAAATGTAATTTGAGGAGGTTCTCAATATCTTAAATATTTATTTCCCTTCTTTATGTGCGAACATACAAAAAATAAAGACACCAGTAGTAACTTGAGTTATTGTTTTTTAATTGAGTTATAATTATAGTATAATCCTTTGAGATTATCACAGAATAATAAAGATTATAAATGGACAGATATAGAGATATATACAAGAACATTACAACACAACAGTTTAAAGGACAGTTCAGTCATATCTCAAAATCTGAATGAGAAATATGGCTTAATTAACTTATTGGGATTGCAGAGGGTGAAACACGCCCAAATTCAATTTCCTTTCCTTCATTTTTGTTTCAAAAATATTTATAACTGTTTTGCTTTGAAAATCAATGCTTACAATTTAGTTTTTCAGGCACAAATGCGAATAAAAAACAATATTTATAATAACTTGTTTTAAATACTGGCATCTGGATGGAGCCGTATATTTTCTTCTACATTCATGTTAGTTTGCCAAAGAACATGACTCACACACACCAACTCATTTTGCAATTTCTGAAACTTGTCTTCTGCACCTGGATAGTGCAGGATCACTTGATTGGTCGCACTAATTTACCTGCACACTCTGATGAATGTCTTATTTTTTTTATTTTTGCAATAGATATTAAAGTAATATCCTACACAAAATGGAGAAACATGAGCCAAAACACATATTTGACCCCACTCATGGTCTCAAGTAAATTGCCTTATATGTATTGTTTTTGTTTAAAAAAATATTATTATCGATTCTGACTTTTTTTTTTGTCCACGGGGACTTTGGTGGAAAAGTGTCCGTTAAGGTAGGCTCAGATTAGTCCTTAAAACTACTCTGCGTGAATGCGAAAATTCTGAGCAGTAAAACTCTCTAATTAACCCATTATTTCTTCTCTCGATGGTAATATCATGTTAGCGAAATGCGTCAGCACTGTTTTATAGTTTACTATTACATTCCCACATTTCCTTTATCATAACTCAATCTACGATGCTCAGAATCCCACATTCAGGATAATCCCTCTTAATCTTTATGTTTTTCTTAATTTTTTGCAGTATCACCAAATTTTCCTTTTCTCATAAGAAAAACAGACATTTCACATATTTCCGTAGAGCCTGGCCTCATAGAGCAAACAGTTTTTTTTTACTTGTATCCTGGTGCAAAACTACACTTGTGTGATGCTACCTGCTCCACAGACAGAGGATGTCTTCTGCTCAATGGATTGTTAGAAAGATATAATAGGGCAAACTCTATAATCCAATGATTAGTTTGCCAGTGCTGGACATGGAGACAAATAGAAAAAAATAGTCAACATAATAGATATAAATGTCTAGATATTTCAATAATTTGGATTAATTTGTCTATACCGGATTTATTGAAATGGAGGCAGCAGACGACGGCTGTCCAATTTTCAGAAACACAATTATAATCAGGTTCTTTTCAATAGATATGTATTTTAGCAGCCATTTCTAACGACACCACACTCTGTATAACTGTAACTACATTGAAGAGTTGTCAAAATGCCTAAAATTATGATTTTATAAAGCAATACTTTATAGTCTTGATAAATAATATAGTGAAATATGCTTATAGTTTCAAAATGTAATTGAACTTAATGAAAACTAAATGTATTAAAAAAAGTAATATAATACAAGGTTATAGAATTTAGGCAGTTTAAATGTAAATTAGCAGTTCATATGTTATGTTTATAAACCGCTAAGCACAACAAAATAAAAATGTATATATGTACATATCGCTGAAATTTAATTGGTCAAAACCCTTTGTTACTTTATTTTGCAAACAGCATTTTAACATGAAAAAAAATATCCAACTGTATCTGTTTAATGCTGGACCAATTCATTCAATTGTTGATAACAGTAGGGACAAACAACACATTAGAGATATAAAACACTTCGCTCTCATGCCTTAAACACGTCCAAAAACACAGATCTGCGTTATTTACAGTGATCCCGCTGCAATTCCAGTTTATCAGCTATGGCTTGCAGGGTCACGATACCTGTAATGTTCACATAGGCACTACGTGGGGCACAGTGGAAGTTACAATACTGGGATTGCCAACAGTCATTCTCTGCCAGTCCGTAGGGTACCCCTGGTATAATTCATTGTTACGTTCTTTTTAGGTACAGAACTCTTTATTTTGGCAGTGTGATAGTGTACCGCCAGTAAACAATTCATAATAATAACACAAAAACTCTAAATAGCCGCAGCCATTCGGGTAAATATGTGGATAATTAAAACGTTTGCAGTAAAGGATTGTGGGTAATGGTGAGTGTGGCCAAACAGCCACATACATTAGTGTACATACATATTACAGTCTACAGGCTTCTCTAACCCGGGGTTTTACTGAACAATTACCCTGAAGAAGTCAAAGCACTTGGACGAAACGCGTAGGGCCATTTTCCATGTTTTTTGTATAGTTTCAACTGATATTTGCTCACTTGACCTTTGGAGATTCTCTGGATATTCTGGCGGTTTGAAGTTCTGAGACTACATTCCAGGCTGGTGTTGGTAATATGTTTTAACTGATTTCTGCTTTGTAATTGCAGTTTTATTAACATTTTTATTTTATCTGGCAGTACATTCCTGTTCTCTCTGCTTCCTTATATATTATTAAAACTTGAGAAGACAGCATATACCTTAATTGGGAGATATACCTTCAATCTATAATTATCCCAAGAGTGTAATAATCCACAGCACTTTCTGGTGTCACAGAGGATATTGCCCTATGTGGTTTTTTTTTTCTTCTATAGACTGTAAAATGTTTAATATGTTTATGAAGATTTAGAGGAGTCTTTTCAGATTTACAGATTTGTTAAAAAGGGTAAATATTTTCCTAATCCGTTTGGACTTTATTCCACCGGTGTGTTGTTTGGGTGGATTTTTCAATATATTTACTGCGAGTCACTAAGCCTGCCGCTAAGTATTCTGGGTAGCCAGAATAAGGTATAATAACAAATAGGATGATCTCCATTATTCTTTATTCTGTTGTTTTCTTTGTAATACACAAACAAACAGCGACTCGGTAACCCCACTAATATCTAATTCAATATGTGATTTTGTCTCTATGTGTAGCTTCGTATAAATCCATTGGCATTAAGGCACTGCCGATCCTTTTAGTTGCCGCCCCCCGCTATGAGTCGGGCTGTGCAAGGTTTCTCTCCGGCAGAGAAAGGTCCTACACTGTATACGATGAGTTAACACGTCATGCTCATTATATTGGAGCATACTGTTCACTAGAAAGTTGTTTGCAATGAAAAAGCAGTCCTTGTTTCAAAAACAGTCTGACATTATTGAATAAAACATCAAACAGCATAAAATGCTTCCAGTGTTCTCAATAATTACATGCAAATTAGAGCTAATACTGGGCTCGCGTTTGGATTCCATCACTTTTAATGTGGCTCTTCATTCACATAGTTTAACCACATATTTTTGCTGCTTGAAATAACTCAAAAAGCAAAACATCGATTGAAATTGCAAGGTCTGAAATTCTTCTTCTCCACTGACCTTTCAAAAATGATCGACCTGACACAACATTTTATTTTGTTTGCTTTGTTTTGTGTCATTTGGGATTGAGTTATACCTTGTGATAGCACTTTTCTTGTGTTCCGATAAGAAGAAGTTTGATAAATCCATTTTGGGCAATCTTACTATGTCTTAACATTGGGATAAAACCCTTGAATGGTTACTTAGTCCAGAACTCATCTGGTGTTACATGTCCCAAAGAATAAAATATTCTCTTAATTTATCATTTTTTTTGTAATATCCTATTCACTCATAAAACAGCTTTAATGTAGGTTAACAAAGAACAAACCTTTGCAGCCGTGCGGAACACAACGAAAAGGGATTATTCAGGGCCGAAATAGCAGAGAAAGGAACAATATTAGTAAAGCATTCTTTCAATGGAGAAATTCTCAGCAGAGAATTAACAATAAAAAAGGGAGGGAAAACCACTGATCCGTGAGAAAAATACAGGATATCGGTTTAATGTGTGGTGGGGAAAGAAAAGAGAAAAATATTAGGTCCTTCTTACCATTGTTTGGTAAAACCTCATTGTTCTCTCAATTGTTCCTCTTGAATATTACTCAATAACACTTCTCAATATTAAAAAAGAAACACCCCTTAGCTCACAGTGGAGGTCAGTCTTGATCTGATGATGGTTTGACCAGCCTGAGGCAATACATACACAAAGAAACACTGGAGAATTATGGTGAAAAAATCAGAAGTATTGAATTTGAATTGATGCACTCCTACACACAAAGCCAGTTATCTACTGTCAATCTACTATTCATCTGCATTTTTATGGAGGTATTTTTACACTCCGTCAACAAGATGTGTGAGCACAACCCAGAACCTGTTTGGTGGTAATTAACAGAATCAGACAATCAATATGATTTTGTTAGCTAATTACAGCTGCAAACTGCGTCACTGGACTCGTGAATCTCACGTGATCTGTAACAATTCTCAATCTTCTATTAACCCGTCATACACATTCAGGTAGAAACATGTCACACTGTTATTATTAAATAAGGGACATTGGCTTTGAACACATGAAAGCTATCCGAGGTGGCATGGAGTATGTATGCAGTGGGGTGTACATGTAAACATGGAGTGTTTCAAATGGAACTTGCAGATTGCTAAAATAATCCATGAGCACAATTTGTATTCGGTCTTTCGAAACCGCAAATATCAAGTCCAGTTCTTTTCTTGGGTGGCTTTTGGTTAAACTAAGCCGTATTTTTCTAGATCTGGGCATACATATATATAATGACCAGTTTGTTATCCTTGGGGAATTAACATAAAAAAATATATATTCCAATACTAAAGAAAACATCGAGTCTACATAAAGCGCAACTGGTTACCCAATCACCAAAGTCACAATGACTCTGCAGCTTATAGCTTGGAGAATTTATATTAACGTGTTCCTCGAGAGACACGCTGAAAAATATAAATATCAGTAACTTTTCCAAAAGGGGAAAATAAGTTATTTTCAGTAGATAATTCATTTGTTATATTTCATAGCATGAGCAAACACAAAACACAGGAATAATGTAATGAATCTCCCA